ACCAAACAGCTACTTTTTTACAATGTGTGTGATACTTTTGGATCGCACCTAGTCAGATCGAGTGATGTAGAGATATTGTACAGTTTTCCAGGATTTATCCTTTGGATTTATCGATATTGCCAAAAATCAGCAAAGATGAAGACTTTTTAAAATCATATCAACGAAAGAAATAAATTAACTATTTGGTGCAAGGTTAAGTGAAAAATAAGGACGCGTTCGTGAGGGTTCGGCTGGAATGCAGAAGCGGTGTACGCTTCCTTAGTGAAACATAGTCGAGGCTGAGAAGCACTTTAACTTGACTCGGTCTGGAAGCAAAACTGAAAGTAAACCCCTAGCAGAATTCGCCATCGTTATTGAACAAAACTGCCCGCAGTGCAATGAAACCTCTGTCTGATCACTAGCTGTCAGAAGTTTTCTGCGGTGGCAACCCGAAGAGCATGACAATCTTAGGACTCACGGTCCAGCTACTTTGCTAATAAGGAAATTGAAGTGAAAGCGTAGTTGTAAAAGTTGTGCATGGGATGTAGTGCTGATTTGGTCCTTCTAAAAGCTCAACAGAAACTCACACCATGGCATTAATGAGCGTTGATGGAATGTGCGGGATGAGTTGGCATAACAGGAAAAGTAAAATATGTAAAAGGTTTTGAATGCCTTCTGATACACGGCGTGCATGAATACAAGCAACTAAAATCACACTGCTGTCACTAACACGGAGAAGAAAGTAACTATGTAAGTAAGAGAATGAAAATTGTTTGGATGAATAAGTAAAGAAATGGGTAGCTATAAACCTTGTTGCACCTTTTATTAATGGTGTCGATGCATTTTTGAAGCTTTTCATAACGGAAATCTTTGGCGGACGGTACATTTTCAACATATAAAGCCTGAGGTGCATTACGGGATATCTCAGTTCACATTGGATGCTGTTTTCTTGAATTAAAAACCATTGCAATCTACAAATGCTTGGCGATAAGAAGTTCCATTTGTTTCAGCAGAGTAATGTCCTGATTTTCAGGAGTCCGTGACATGTATTTCCTCCACATTGCTGCTTCAAGGCTCATATTTCGAACAAGAAATCAAGTGAACTAGCTGAATTTCATCCACTACCCGGGACGGTGGCGTTCCCTAATGTATTGTTAAAAGTTGTCGTCTCGTTGTTCGAAATTTGGGAAACTTAAGTTTCTTCACCAAGTTTTTGAAAGCTTCAATCCTAACCATCATTGAGATTGGAAGAACGTTATGCAAAAATCACCTATGTGGTGCATACATTATTTGTAGTCCATAGATCTGCATTAGTTACTAATTCTTAAGATACTCTCTCGATCAACAAATCATCAACACTTATCGATACGTGCGTTATCCGGTGTTGCTCGTTAGAGGATCTCGGCTTATAGGCTCGCAGCTCAAAAAAAATCGATCCGTACTTTACGAGGTTGTTGTAGTTTTTTGCACTCACAACTGTTGTTGCAAGGTCTAGAACAAATAATAATCTAAAAGGATTATGTGTAGACTATAGGATGAATAGGGTTCTATATTTCAACTCTCCTCTAATTATCTGCAAGGTGACGCTTAACATTGTCATGCTAAATCGGAGTCCGAGCCGCCACTGCGGTTGCGATATCGAGCAACTGCTCTAAGTGGCGACTACCAGTAATAAAAAGAAACACCGGCACTAAAATGTTCGATTCGATTTTTGTAAAAGATAAAAAATTGGTAGAATCGGTTTAGTAATCTCTTTCTTAATCTTCTATAATCCTCTGAAAGGGTTTATATCCTTTCAACACAATATCGGCCTCGCAGATATCTTGTGATTTGGTGATATTCCGTAAGGAGAAAATTGACTTTATCTCTAACTTCACGTCATCTCTCTTTCTCCCTTCCTCTAAACACGTGTAGGTACGCACAAGTTTGGCGCCCGTAATGCAGTGGTTAGTGGTGAGCTACAATACAAACGTGCTCATCGGTTCGATTACACATCTGGATAAGTCATGCCTCTGTCTTCACGGATTCTGAAAGTTGTTAACGAACATGCCTTTGTAAACGAGAACACTGCCTTTATATTTTTGTTAAGCAAACGCGAGGTGTTATTATTCCTTATTCACGAATAAGCTGATGTTTCGGCGGATTTCGCCTTCCTCAGAGCCTGGAAAGGTCAAGTTGATAGCAATCCACCAGGCCAGACGCCTCCATAACCAAACAAAGAAACTCGAAACCAAGATTTCAATCACGTTGAACACAGCTTTGCACACTCACCGCTTTCTATGAGGTTTCCATTAAGTATGTCACGTAGAGACCAACCGAGACCAACCACCTCGCGTTTGCTCAACAAAAATGCAAAGAATTACTTGATCAATGCCGAGGTTAATAGAAAGTCGGTCGTGGGAGTTACTGCCTTTATACATTAGTAAGCATTTAAAAGTGAATGTATGGTTACAACACGGATTTAACCATCTTGAGATTGAATGTCCTACTGTTGCTTTTAATGACCCAATAAAACATTATTAGAAAAGTGAACATGAAAACAAAAATTTTCATAGCTGATACTTCAGAAATATTTCCTAGAAGAATTGATTCCGCCATATTTAAGAAAACTAGTGTCTTAAAGGTAATGAAGTGCAAAGACTTATTAGCTTTAGAAGGGTAACACTTCGTTGTGATCGATCAACTAGATTTGAGGCATGGTTTTTTTTTGATGACGTCGTTTTAATTAATGGAGATTACAGCTAAATTGTACGTGCTAAGGAGTTGAAAGCCAAATTATTTAAGAACAAGTATGAACCTTAAATGGCTAAAACTTTCGCGAATAGGTTAAAATTTGTGAAGTTATAGTTAAACAGAGTAGTTGAACAACATTGCCAAAGAAATTCAATTCTGAATATAAATCAAGGAAAGATAGTCTATAACCAGATCAGCTATAAAGGCAGCGCCATCGAATTTTTGCAGGTCCATATGGAGATCAGGATAAAACCAGTTTCTTTTGAATTTTTGACAGAATTTACGTTCGCTTAGTATAAACATTCGATAGCATTCCATGTCCTTCTTTCTTTTTTTTAACTTGTTGGAGGGTTTAAAGGGGCAGGGAAGACTCCTCAAGGCTCTAACCTTCTTCTACTCTAATTTTATAGTAAAATGCACTCTATCTGATTAATTTCAGTTTAAGGTAGTTTCTAGAGGACTTTAGAGAAATGTGCCAGAGGAAATTCATTTGATTGATACTTCATATTTGAAGGCCACTAGACGAAATAAACTAGGCTGCGCAAGCGAGATGGTCTTTTATTAATTGGAAACTTTAATAAACGAAGTGGAACTAACGTCTGTCTGGAAGAGGAGTGGGGTGGAGCTAATCACTTCACCAAACGTCATTGTCGGCGTCAACATCGTCTGCTTCGTTGCTGCGCGCGTTTCCAGCCGCCTCGTCTTCATTTTCTATTGCTATCAACAGCCTTGCATGAGAGGACGTTAATGATCATTCTGAAATAATCACCTCGTCTTTGATTGCCTTTCGTTTTCGTCGTCAGAGGCTGCGGTAACGAGGAGGTGAGTGAGAATCCTTCAAGAAACCCATCGAATTCGGCTACATCATCAACAAGCACAAGGCACGTCTTCTCATAGATTGATGTGTGTAATCACGACTATTTTTCCTCAAGAGTAAAGCAATGTCTGCCAAGGACAAAAGTTTCAATGTTTTGGGTTTGTCTGATATTATTCAACTCATAAAAGACTTACTTCCATTTTCCTCATGGCTCCACAATTTGCGTAAATTATCACTTATTTAAAGCAGATATTTCAGACAAAATTTCAAAAATTCTCTTATAATACAGCGGCATGGTTTTTGAAATAGAACTCACTAAATTTCTCAAGTAATAACACATTTTTTGTGTAACTCGTAGAAATCAACCCCGGTATTCCCATTACTGGAAGGTATTCGAGTAGGGCTGCGAATTTTAGTTTTAAGAAATTCGCAGTCGATTTTTGTATTCTACGAATGATAGCTGTCATAGGATATACTGCTTATGTAATAAAACCACTACACAGTTATGTCAACGCTTTTTTAAAAGGTTTTTTCTTCAGCTCAAATTATTCACCAATGGTTAGACTTATTATTTTCTTTATGAAAATATTGAATTTACAGTACGAACATTTTTTAGGCAGTTAAAATCATTTTTTAATTAATTATAGTAACCATAAAAAAGGAGCGCGTGCAGAGCAGTGGTCGGAGGTGCCCTGCAACACTCACGTGGAATCCATCCTTGCGTCTGTGGCCTAGCAATCCTTCCATGCCTTCGGGGTCGGCGGTCGGCAAATTGGTAGCAGTCTTGTCTATAGCAGCACTGGCTCGATATATCAGCAGGCCACCGAGAGTCATTGTAAAGGCCAGATATGCATTCAATCACCTCCAAACGGTGTTTGTTGAAATCGAATGCATGCTGCATTCCTAGGGGATCGATCAACGCTGAGAGTTTTAACATTTTATCCTTATTAACTATGAAAAAATTTAGCCATTTTGTGTAATTATAGAATTTACATTGTGAAATAGCTCAAGTTATTCATATGAGATATGGCGAAATATCTTCTGTCAACTGAATCAAATTTGTGAAACCGTTAAAAGATACCATACTACTTCTTTCAGAAAAGTCCTTTAACTTTGAACTTATTATTTCCCTTCGAAGAAGAAAAAAGCGTTTATGGATGGAAATAAAATATAGGGTAAAGTGAGCTAAACAACAGACAAAACAACAAGGAATACTTTCACACCTATTGAACCTTCAAATGTTTTCGTGTAGAAAATCGAAAGCGGTAGATGTTTTTTATTTATTTTTTGCCATTCGAACTATTTAAAATGATGAACTTCAGATGATGGAATCAAAACAATTGATGAGGGACTCAGCAACAACGAAAACAACTGCTGTCGTTCTGCTCTGTCAATAAATCCATAAATTTGGATGCCACAGAATGAAATCGATTACGGTAGTAATGTTCTTTTCCTAAAGTTGATTTAAAAAATGCCAGTACGGCTACAAAAAATTTCGGGTTAGTGATTTTTTTAACATAATTTCATTAAATTTTCTACCTAGGTATTAGGAAAAGGACTTGGCAGACATCTTTTGTTCACAAATACGGCAATAAGTTGTGCTCAAATCGGGACAGCCGACCTAATGCAACAATTATTTCACGGTGATTTTCAACGTAATGGTTGGGACCATTGGCGAACAGGTTTCACGAATTTTTCTTTGCCTTTTGTCGTCACCATATCAGACCCCTTTCATCTCGTTCTTTTTGTTTTCTAGAAAATCCTATCCAAGTGTGAGGAAAGCGTGATTTGAACAAAAGAGAAGTAAAGATAATAAAGAAATAAAATAATAAGAAAAAAAGATAATACAAGAAAGTGTACATTTTAGTAATGAAAATAGTTTTAGGCAAACTAATTATTATCTCTATTTATTTACTTATTATTCTTATCTCTTGTTAGTGTAATGAGAAACAGTGTTTCCTTCATGGAATAAAATGAAAATAAAACGAAAAAAAACCCGTGCAAGTTTTTTTAGGAAGAGAGTTAATAAGAGAAGTAAGGAAAGTCTGGTTGATTAACCACTGATAAGAATAGTCTTTTTTTAAAACTAACTTCGACGTAACAGTTGCAAATATCGTTTTCACTGCATAACATTTTTTCTTAATCGAGCTTATGCAACGCAATAACTAGGGGTGCCCCGCAATACACACTGGATAGGTTCCACTGGTTCAACTCTGTGCCTCACCTTCACAAAGTCTCCTGTCCAACCGATGTCAGACAGTTAAGACCAAAAATATCTAGTAGAATAACAGCACTAAAGTGACAGATCGGCAGAGTACTGCATGTCACCGCTGCCATTCAGTTACTTCCAACGGTGCCTGATGTAGACAAATGGATGTGCAACTCTCAAGGATCGACCAGCGCCGAGAACTTTACTCTTTATTCTTTTATTGACTTCCTTTTTTATGTTACGGCAGTAAGCTAGAATAAAAACAATGATTTTAACTGCAGCTTCAAATTAACTGGATTAGATGCCTATTTGTGCTTCCCGTATCATTCCCCTTGATGGGTGATGATGATAGCACCAATGGAGGAAAAAGCTGGCTGAAAAAAGAAAAGCAATGGTGTACGTTGTTGTAGTGGATAGTATAGTACGTGGGCATTTGGTAAGCTTAGCCGTTGGTGGGAAACCAAAATGAGGTTCAACGTCGCGCTCATATCTCCGCATCCCTGTCGTTGAATGCTCAGCAGTTTAAAGAAACACTTATCACCTTTGTCGTCAACAAAGAGTACGGTAATAGAAAATATGAGATTACTAGGAGAAAACAATTGTGATACCACAGAAAGAAATAAATTATTCTTATCTTAACTTTTTTTATTTACTGCCTACTCTTTTCAATGGCAAGGTAAATTGCGAAATATAACTTCTGCGAGGCTGGGATATTTGCAAAACTCCGGACCTCAGGTGTCTGCGATAGGGAGCGAACGCGCTACTGACTTTTTCAGGGAGTAACGCGTTCGCCACCACACCATCCAGGTCCTTCGTTTTGCCTCTGTCTCAGCTAGTTTTATCGGTCACTGCCATCAGCAATAGCCCATCAACGGGATTGATCTGGAGAGCCCAAATCGGCAATGAACCCAGTTAAGCAGAGGTTCTAGTTATAATCACAATCAATCCAGCTGACGGATGATTGGTGATGGCAGTGATGCATAGAAGTTAAATTACTACAGTATCATTAAAGTTTCTTATCCGACTTACTCCGCTTATGATCTTCTTTAGTTATGAGAGAAGGATTCGGTTTTGATAATGGTAAGTTCGTCTCAAATATATAAAAATAACGAATATAATCGTTTTTAATCAAATATTTTGTACCAGTTGTCTTATTCTTAATAATTGAATTCTTCCAAAAAATTTTTTTCCTTATCATATTTATTTCTTTTAGTGCATTTCACCTTTAAGAAAACGGGGGAATATTGGCTGTCGTGGTTCGACGAATGAGAGAACATTTGAAAACCTATTAGTTAGATTAGATGACGCCAATCCCACTGGGAAATTTAGCGGATTTTCGCTGAATACAAAGCAAACTTGAACTATGGTTCATTTCTCTGAAACACCGTACTGCCACAGTGTTGATGAACTGCTACCAGACGCCGGTGGTCGAAAGGCCATCGGCGGACGTTATTACGGATTACCAGCAAGAGAACTATTGCCATGGCTTGTGCTAAACCTTTTCGGAGCCTCCTTCAAATTGCGTGGTGTTGCTTCTTTTCCGTGAAAGATCTACTGCTTAAATCGGTGGGAGGGTTTATCAGAGAGACCACCTCCAACTCGGGTAATGTTACGAATTGAAAGGACCATTTCCAGCTAAATCAAACCTTCATGAGGCCTTGCCGAACTATATCAAAATTTATGGCACTTGCGACTGAAAGCTTGGCTTTCTGTATCTGAGGAAGAACATTTGGTTAGAGTCGCATATGGTTGATGACTTGTTAAAAAGTTATACATTGTTAATTGGACTACACCCTTCCTCTAACTGTGTGTAGTGGGGATTTATACCCGTTAGATCAATACGATTGATGGATTATTGCTGGTAGCAGTATTAAAAAATAAAAGGTAAAGGATAAGGATAATGTAAAGGATAATGTTCTCAGCGTTGATCTACCTCTGAGTGATGCACCATAACAACGACTCGCAGCGGCCTAACGATTTGCTAACCTCAGAAGGATGGAGGGTGTGGTGGGCCTGGGTCGCGAAGATCGACCCCATGTGTATTTCAGGGCGGTTCCGACTACTGCGCTACACCGGCTCCCTTGGTAGCGCTACGATAAAGAAAACTGGTTAAGACAAAGACGAGGTAAGGGGTTCAGTGGTGTAATGGACAACACGTGAGCCCTGGTAAAAGTAACTGCGTGTTGCAAGCCCAACCGTGGTTCTGAGTTTTGTTCTCAGAATCTCTGTGGCTGGAATTAGCAACGTAACGTTCTTCGAAAAAAGGCTTGGTAGAAAACAGAACGTGACACATTGTCAGAAAATTGTTTACACCCTACTAGTGTGTTTTATTTTCATAGGACGAAATATTTCATGACACATTTGCGGCTACGAACAGTTTTTTCCGCAGCCCTTAAGATGCATTAAAATTAAACGCACGCGGGTGCTCTTCTGTAATCCCCAATGAACCTTTTTCCGCTTTGGAATGTGGTCTTTTCATGTGCTTTTCTATCATAGCTCCATTTTTCAATGTAAAAATTTAAAAAATACGTCAAAATGACAGAAACGTTGTAATCTGTTGGAATAATGGAGAAAAGGTGTAATGGAAACCTTCGGATGGCAACTTAAAAAAAATTGTAGACAAAGGTTTTAACGAGTCTATTAGCGAGAAACGAGAAAAAAATGACTACTTAAAAACGAAGAAAACTAAAAGAATTTACAAAAAAAAGACGAAAAAGAGTTGATTTACTGATCTTCGTTCGTTTAATGAATTTAGCACGAATGGCAGCGATTGGACTCGTGATGGGTCCGATGCTTCACTGTTTTTATCGTGTACTGGATTCGAGGCAATTTCATGGTGGACGGCGAAAAGTCGTAACGAAAAAATTGTGCTGTGATGCCGCATGCATGCCGATCTTTTCGTTTACATTCATGACAGGTAAGAACAATTAGAACGACATCGATCATTTTGTACCAAACCATCTCAATCTCCACTTACACACGTACTCCTTCACTCGTTCTACTCAGTACCCTTGCGTTTCGTCTAAAATTAGCCAAAGAAGACGATAAGCTAGGAAACAGGTAGCCCAGCGTTATTGAGTGATACCGTTTCATTACCATTAAGGCGTCGGATCAACCTTTTTCCGGTTCACCAAGCCTTCAATACATTAGTGCTTAGGAATGTGCAAATAGGCTAGTCATGGTACCGATCACTCCTCTATTCCACGATAAAGTCCTAGCACAACTATACTAGGATTTGAGAAAGAATTGACTTCATCAACATTAAAGAGCATTCATAGTGAAAACGAAAATAATACACCCGCAGCCGAACCCACAAGCAGAAACTCCGAGGGCCCTAGTGTAGTACGGATGCCAGAAAACGACTGGAATAAAAGAAGTACTGGGATCAAAGCAATATGTGGTTTCAGGCAATCCAAAAAATTAACTAACAGCGATTTTTTTCACGGAAGATAAGCAATCAGATGCAGACTCCCTTTGTTTGTTGAAAACGCGTGTCTAGGGCACTTGCTGGAGGTGCGCTAGTCGTGTCGCTCTTGGGCAAGCCAAGTCCTTCATCTCTCCAGACTCGCCAGTTTGGTAGCAGAGTTGTCTGTGAGAGTGAAAACACTGCCTTGGTACATACGTGAACCAATGCAGCTAGTTGTTTGTGTAAGCCTAACATGCATTCGATTACCACCACGATTCAACGAATGGGGCACAATGCACAGCGTATTTTCATGGGGTTGATCGACACCGAACGACTGAACCACTACCTTTCTTTCTCTGATAGCATGCAGAAAAAGAATGAGCCAGCAAAGGGAAAGGGAAGGAAAAGTAAAAATCATTTTCTTTTTTGTTTCTAGTTGGTGGTCTTCTTGAAGGATCATCACTTTCATCGGCTTTCATGGAATATCGCAAAAAAATGTGGCATATTTTCAAGGTGAGCGAATTCTATTGAAATTTCAATATTGCCACCGACAATTTGAACAGAATATCTATTGATCTGTAATGATTTTTAGGTAGACCTATCAATTTGGCCGCCAGCGCAATTTATTTCATTCTGGTTTTTACCACCGTCGTTTCGGGTTGTTTATGTGAACATTGTGTCATTAATTTACAATTTTGTAATGTCATATATAAAAAATAACGATATAGCAGAAATAGAAAGAAACAAATAAGAGATCCACTGTTATTCCTCTGCTTTGATTACTTGATTGTGTCGTTAGAAATATTTTCATGCTTTAGAAGATAGGGCCATCTCAATATGGCTAGGTATTAACTGCGAGGATCGTTAAAGGAACAAATGGAACGAAGTGCAACGAAATGAATTTCCAGGAGCTTTAGAGAAATGCATATGAATGATTTGAACTGGCAAAAATATGGGTGGATTAGAAATGTTTGACCCATTTTTAACACAGCAGTAGTTTTGATTGAATAAAGATGCTTTCAAATCTTGAACACCTTCTCTTTAGTCGGAATGAAACGTCGACCAATGGAAAATGGTAACAATTTGCATTATTTGTGATTAATAAGTGATAAAATTAAAAAGAATAGAGCTCTCTGCGTTGATCAATCCTTGAGGGATGCGCCATGCATTCGATTTCATTAGGTATCGTTGGAGGTGATTGAAGGTATATTTGACCTTTACAACGACTCGTGGTGGCCTGCCGATGTATCGAGCCAGTATTGCTCTCCCCCCAGACAAGTCTGCTACCAGTTTGCCGAACCCGGAGGTATTGAAGGCTTGTTGAGCCATGGGCGCCGGGATCGATTCCACTTGTGTGTCGCAGTGGCGCCTTCAATCACTGCGCCACATGCCCTTTATCGATAGGTGATATTGATAGAGAACATGTAAATGACAATTCCGTCGTACAAGATAAGTTCTACAAGAGCTGTTTTACTCTGCTTTCTTGTTTGGAGTGATTATTTTCAGTAAATTGGTTATGTGAATACCGCTTGCAAATATTTTCCAGGAACTTTTGTAGTGAGTATTGGGTAACGCTAACTTTTCTCATTGATTGCGAAGAGCACATATGGTTCCGCCCTTAAGTCCGAACAGTGACTTCTCTCCATCTGTTACTTTCAAAGAATGGATTTTTTAAATGAAAGGAGATGCTACATTAGTTGTACTAAGTACGTTATCAGTTCGCTGAAGCTTGCTGGCTTTTGATATTGATGGTGGAACTTCTTCACAAGTAGCAATAGAGATATGTGAATTTTCTTTTCAAATCATCGTTCTTCATACTCGGACAGGAATCTTAAACGCCTTTTTTATAACTTTCAAGCTTTATTCAAGTTAACGATGAGTTGATTATTAAATTTGCTAAAAGGAGAAATACCTTAAATAACTGATTTTAAAATGTTTCATAGGATTCTCCAAGTGATCGTCATTCAACTTCAGCATCTGCCAATTGGCTTGACAACGACGAACGTAATTATCCACTTCAAGCAGCTCATTCTGAGTCGTGAAGGTTTCATTGCACCACCGACGGCACATACTTAAGTGGAAGAGTAGTGGATATGAATGAAAGAGCTTGCGATCTGCTTCAAGTTGGCATTGTACCGTGTTTATTGCACCAAATGCTACGATCCGGACTGCCAAGAGCTTTTATACGACACACTAGGTCGTAGTAATTTTCCACTTTTTTCGAGTTGCTTTATGCGGCGAGTATATCCGGACAGAATCGTAGTGGTGGTGCTGGGGGTGGCGTTCAGTAATTGCAATGAGGTTACCGACGATCCAGGTCCTCGTCACTCAGCCAGCTCTCCATCAATTGAACCTACCACCACCACTATCGTCATCCACGCGTGCACACCGCAGACGATTATCCGATGTCATAATCAACAGGGATCATCATTCTCATTTAGTTCATAATATCGCTGTCTGTTGGTTCATCTCCATCACAAAATTCAACGATTTCTATCACACGTCTGCTAGTGTTTACTAAGTCCTAATGATCACGCCCTTATCAACTTGGAATCTACGACATTTTCTGAAGAAAGATGTGATTTGTTTCTTTAGAGTGCAAAAACTTCGTTTTAAAATTTCTTTTAAAAAATTACATGGTCAACCACCTAATCTAATGGATTCGTTGAAAAAATCTCTAGCTATGAATGCAAGTTGTATTTCGCAGTTCAACTAACGGAGTGTATACCAAACAAATCTCGATGTTTTAGAAACTTCAAGAAAATTTCTGGAAATGAATTTTTCACAAGGTACGTCATGGGCTATCCAAGCCATGGATATCAAATGGTTAGCTGAATTACTCATACATAATCGTTCTAAGAATATGTAAGTTTACAAGTCATATCATATTTAAGTTCTTAAAGGTCTTTTTTCTCAAAAAAAACCTTCACTTGTCTTAAACCTTAAGTTTAAATCAGATAAAAATCGAGATAAATGGAAAGCAAAGGGTTTCCTGCGTGTTTGGATCTTTGAGAGAACTAACAACAAGCCATCGTATTTTGTGATTGTGAAAGCTTTGCCTTTAAAAAAGTTTAGGTGGTTTCCAGGCGACGACAGTCGTATTCCGTGACAAAGAATTTCTTTCTCCAAAAGTCAAAAGCCCTTTTTTTAAAGCAGCGAATCTCCTTTTTTGAGAATTCAGTTCTATTTTGTAAACCTTTCTCGCAAAAGTTTTCAGGCGTTTTGCTTTCACCTGGCTGATTATCTTCAGGATTATAGGTGTACAAGGAAGAACCACAATCTAGTGCAATTTTTGTTAATAAACCATTTGATGAATTTCCTTTCTAGAATTATAAAAATTCCATAAGTACTTCCTGTAATAAATGTAGGCTTTTTTCTTCAGATCACTTCAGCATATTTCATATTTTGCTATGAACACTTCCTGTGTTCCCAATGCCTGCTTACTACTTTTATATTGTATAGCCGTTCCGTTGAATGTATTCCTTCTAGCAGCTGTTCTTCCAGAATTAACACGGCGAGCTGTGATAAAGTGAGTTATAACATCGTTTTTGCACCTGGAATAAGATCCTCAGTTTGTTTTTAAAGGATAAGTTGAGGGAAAATAGGGCAAAATATCGTCAAAGGCTTGAAGGAGTTCATTGACTGTTATTACGTTTATAAGGATAAAAAAGGATCTGAGGGATACGCCATGCATTCGGTTTCATTAAGCATCGTACGGAGGTGATCGGATGCACATCTGGCTCGGATGGTGTAGTGGTGAAGTGCGCTGCTCCCCGGTAAGGACAACAGCGCGTGTTCGTTCCCCACTCCATACACCTGTGGTCCCGAGTTTTGCAAATATCTCAGCACTTCATACGAGTTATATTGCACATCTGGCCTTTATAATGACTCGCAGTGGCATACCGATATATCGACCCAGTGCTACTGTCCTCACAGACAAGTCTGGTACCACCTTGCTGACCCCAGAGGGGATGGAAGACTTGATGGGTCATGGGGATGAGGATCGATTTCACGTGTGTGTTGAAGAGCGCCTTCGACCACTGCGCCACATGCGCCCATTAATTTTATATCGTTTGCAAAACTCTTTAGAAACACCTAGTAATGAAAATTCTCCGAATAAGCAGGAACTTGAAGAATTAGCTACAGCAGTTGGTTGGTGTGTACAAGAAATCTTTATGCTCATAATTCAAAAACAATTTTGCATTAGTATAAAAGAAAGGAGGTAGAAGGCTGTGAGAAGTTGTTGTCAAGTTTCAGCCAACTGTTTCTAAAGAATATAAATATTACTTTCGTACCTTTTGTGCTTCTCATTTTTTCTTTTTCATCGCCTCTTTTCCCTTTTCAGAATTTCAGTTCTACGGAATCTCCGCTCTTTGTTCTGCGATTGTTTTGATTTTCCTCGACAACAATTCCTAATGATTGATACTGATGCCACCTCGTCTTATCAACGAGCAATTAGAAATGTGACACGAAAATAGAAAGAAAAATAACTGATTGCTAGCGAAATTTCAAAGAATACAGATACAGTTACAATTATATAAAACACTGGGAACTACGTCTACAGCAAAAGTGAACGCAGTATTTGTTCATAAGTACGTCTTAAGTCAATACACAGTACTTCACGACGTTAAGAATCCACAACAACAAAAAAACTGTGAAAAATAAAAGCCTCAGCTTAACTGGCTTCAATGCAGATGTGGACTCCCTAGATCAATGCCGTTGACGGGCGATTGCTGATGGCACTGATTGATAGAACTAGCTGAGAGACAGGCGAAACGAAGGACCCACATGGTGTGGTGGTGAACGCTTTACTCCCCGGAAAGGACAATAGTGCTTTCGTTCCCTACCGCAGACACCTGCGGTCTGGAGTTTTGCAAATAACTCAGCAATCTTGTGGTTGTATTACGCTTAATACCTTGCCATAAAAATAATAGAAAGCAGAAAATAAAAACGTAAAGGAAACTGTGTTCAAAAAATGTTTCAAAAATTATTTTAATATTGGCAATTTTTATTGCACTGTTCGGTTTTGGGAGAGAAACTGGTCCAGAGTTGTTCTCACATTGATTGACTGACCGATTAACCGTTAACAAAAAACTTTATGGTAAACGACAGAGAGGCCTACTTTTCTCTTGTTGAGATAGAAATATTGAAAATGATCAACATGATAAAGTGATCTCATCATGAGAAATTTAAGTACTAGCAAGCCATTCACCATAGTTCTGTAGAAAAGATGCTTTTGGGATAATTCTAATGAGTTGGCCGCAAAAATAAGGCGAAAGAAAAATAACGCATAAAGCGTGGAGAACCTATCCGGATCGAAAGCAAGTAGATATTTAAACTATTGACAACCCTTATGTGTACTGTACATGGGACCCACACTAGGAGGTTAGCTAGGTGCTACGCATGAGTGAGATTACTTTTCATTTCTTGCTTTTACAAGAGTGGTTTTAACATAATGTGGGATTCCACCATTTCTTTCATTTGTTCTGTTCTCATGCACTCTCCAGCCGCGAAATTCATTGGATTGTTAGTGGGTTTGGCTGTTACTTCAAGATTCTTTCTCCTTTACGAAAGTTGTTGAAAGCTGGTTGAATGGCTCCCCCTGGATTCTTGGCACATACCCGTTCCAAGCCGCTTCCATGTTTTTATTACAATAGTTACCAACTTTTGTAAAGAAGCGAGATTCTCAAAAAAGTATGGTACCAATTTCCTGATCCCAAAAGGGTGGCATCTGTACCACCACGTGGTGTCAAATCAGTTTAATGTCATAGATTTCAGCACAAATATATCAACTCCTACTGAGCTTTGCTAAATGAAATAAAACCGTTAAAGGTTGTACATTATAGTAAAAAGTGCAAATTCCTCTATTCTACAGAGGTTAAATGCTAGGCTGCTGAAGACAACGAATCCTTCTCCTTTTCGTCAACGTTCCCATTTGTGAACATCTTTAGTGTTCGCTTCTCGGCACTTGTGTTAAAATTTTTTCACGGTGTTATCTTTCCGATATTTTGTCAAGCCTTCAACTGTTTTCATTATTCCAAGAAATCATTGATATTAATCGAGGAGTCTGCACGGCTGTCGTCGACTGAGGCAAAAGATTCTAAATAATTGAACTGAAATGTAGTACACATAGATATGAGGAAAAAATCTCCAAAATTATCCATTATTCAATACGAAACACTATCGGTTCAGAAGAAAAGAAAAACAAACAGTGATTGGCAGTGAGAATACAGAAGTCGTTTAGATTGAAGCTGCTCATCTGCACCTTGATCGGTGTGAACATTGTATGGAGCTTCACTTGGCTTTGTGTTTCGCTGGTTGTTCAGCTCATTGAGGTATGGACGATAAGTGTTTACTATAATTCTATGCTGCCTAAAATTTTCTGCTAACTTTTTTCGCTGACTCAAGTTCACCTAACTTGGACGCGTATTAAAGCCAAATTGACCTGTTTTCGACAGAACATCTACTGAGTCCGTCGTGGCAAAAGTAGTAAAGTTTTCCGTGCTACAATTATCATTTAACATCTTTTCTCCGTTATTTCTCCTTTTCTCCTCAAGGGCATCACAGAAGTGATTGAATGCATATTTCGCAATGGCTCTCAGATACCCCTTGATGTGTCTACTCTGTGTTTTTTTTTTACCTTCTTAGGAACTTCTGGAAAAAATTCGCCTAACGTGCAAATACAGAAGAGGCTTGGTTAATCTGGGGATCGAACTAAGGGTCAGGTGTGTATTACTAGACACCTCTAACCACGCTACTCCACGAGCACAGTATCGTGATAATTCTGAAATAAGTTAGTTATTCGAGCGGTTATCTGTGCTTCCATTCATCCGTTATCCGCAAGGATGTCGCATAGTGAATTAAACTGTGGGACACGAAAAGCATTGTCAAACCCGCACAAACCGCTTTTATTTTTCACATTTCGCCCTTGAGGTTTATATCCTATAGGTTCGTCACTCAGGATCCAGTGATATCCTTGAACCCTCTATATTCGCTTAGAATTCCACATTAACCGTTTCTCCTCTACGATGGAGGACAAGAATCGGTTGTGTATTTTTTGTGTACAAACACCGTCATCCGTTCATATGCGTATGGTCACCTATATTTTTTGTCCTTTATAGGTTTGTGCAGATAATAATAGCACAGTGATATCTATTTTGTAATATGATGCTTCGTCAAAACGCTATGCAGAGAGTTGAATGTCCTTGACAGTTTGAAACAGGTTTTTCTGGAACTGAAGCAGTGAAAGCCACGAGATTGGATTTGCTACACAAGAGAAGCGATGTGATGTTGTCATATTTATGTTATATTTCTAATAATACAAAGCAAAACGGTTACAGAAAAACATATTGTTGCCAACAGATTCGATCACGCTTTAGGAATCTGATGAAACGGTTTTCGTTTTGAGTGCTGAAGACGACGAGCAGAACCTGCGTGATATTATGTGGGAACTGGTCGCACATCAACTTATTGAAAACCTTCTTGCTGTTCAATCAATACTAATCTTTGCGATCTCTATCGATCGATATCTGAATCTATTTAATGTTGGTAGCTCTTGTTTCCTTTTCCATTCAGTTGGATTATGAAAGTAAAACCGTTTACACATGCCAGTAGCTAACTACATGTTACAACGAGCTACTTTGTAGCGATCGAAAATCACTTAACTCACTAAAAAAGTATTAGTTGTCGTTTGAAATAATCCTTTACTAGGCCGACATTCATTTAACCTCTGCATGAATGGTCAAGATATTTTCTTAGGCTGTTCAGAATAGATGAGATTGTTATAGAGTTGCTCCAATAATAATTAATTTCAGGGTTACATTAATTCTACCGAGAATAACATCGTGAAAATTTTACTAGTTTTGCTACCATTTCTACTGGCTGCCACAATCTTCGATCATCGAACGGTGGCGATCGTTTTGCCAATCGAAAGTGCGGTTTTTTGCCGGTGAGACAAATTTTCCTTTCGTTTTGAACGAAATTGTATTGTTATAAATGAAAGAAAAACGAAGGACCCGCATGGTGTGGTGGTGAACGCATTAGACCCCTGAAAGATTAATAGCGTGTTCGTTCCTCACCGCAGATATCTGCGGTTCGGAGTTTTGCAAATATCTCAGCATTTTTGTGCTTATATTATTATAATTATCGCTATTGTCATAACTACTGTTGTTCTAATGGGCTTTGTTTTTGTCGACAAGGCTTCCATATTCTTTCAAACGTGAAGCTAAGAGTTTTTTTCGGGAATTTTTTTATTATTCAGTAAAAAAGTGGGCTTAATTTTTTTATTTTTATATCGTTTTTTATCAATAATGCTCTAAAATTTATAAAAAAGATGAAGGTTATAGCGTTTGGTGTTACCCAGTCTCTGCGAGATGCATTCTGCATTCCAGTCTATTTGTAATAATTTCAATTCCGAAATGCCAAAAAAAGTAAACGAATAGCAATAGTCCTTAATAATTACTTCTCTTAGAGACCTATTCTCAAGTACATTTTTCTCCGATTCTCAAAGAAAGAAGGAGCCCATACTCGATTTTAGATACTCCGAAGAAAGAAAATTTTACATATTTATCGGATTACAAGAGAAATAGAAGTGTCGATTGAACCTGCTTGTGTTCTTACTATTTGCGACAACAGCCATTCAAATTTTTAAGCACTCAAGTAATTACTTTATATAAAACAAAAAAAGGCATCGGCTGTGAAAATAAGCCGTTATTTAGCCTTCGTTGGCGTCGCAATTCTCAAATTGTGGAAGAAAAGTCTACTGGTCTAAATTGCTTTAAAAAATATATCTTACGTATCACCTCAGCTGCCATAATTTCCTTCATTCTAGACTATGCCTACTTCTTGGTCCGTCGCTATTTTCTATTACGTTGCTACTGATTACGGTATTTCCAACGAACATCAAGAGCAGTTTTGAGTCACGTTTTCCAACGTCGATGAGCACGTAAATCTTTCCAAAAAGTTTTTTATTAGCGTTGAGCAGATTATTTCGAAATGTTTTTTTTGGAAGTCCTTGCTTAATTTTTCAATTTTTTTGTGCTGTTTAGAGCTTTACCGCGAGTGATGTTGATAGTAGTAACGTTGGATGTGTTCTGGAGAGTGGCGCTGTTTTTCCAGTTACTTGAACTTGACTTTCAATTTCGCATCGTCACCGGAAGTGAATACGGTGACCGTATTTTACATGATGTGTTGAAGGCTTTATTTGAAGTACGTATCTTTAATAGTGTCTCATCAGCTTTGTTAAAGTTCACCTTGCTTCCAATGTTGGAGCAATATGCCTGTAAGGAATGGAACGAAAAAGCAAATCTTACGAAAAATGGGTGCATAAACCGCAGAGTAGATTTGGAACAAGAGAGAATGGCATTGTCGGGATTATTGCCTCGCTATCCTTTGCCTGTAATGTCTTCTGTCTATCGATTTCTTAAAAAACACAAAGGGAATTATAACCTAAAAAAAGATTGGGATCTCACTTGGATGCTGTGGCAGTTACCAGTTTATCCATCCATATTTTAGTTACTCGTCGTCAACGTTTCCCCGCAAGTAAAGTCCTTCCACAGCCTACTTTTATTTTGTTTTACGTATACACTTTCAATCACTGTTATTTACTTGGATAAAAAGAAATAGATTGCTAGATTTTTTCAGATATCCGTCTTCATAATTCATCTTTTTCCTTTGTATATACCCACTTTGCTCATTGTATTCGTTCAACACTATAGAATGCAGGTATATTTTTCAGAGACCGTAAATCATTTCTTCCAATGATCATATTTGTAAAAAATTGAATGGAATGGCAAGGAAAGGAAGGAATGCTAAGAATCTTCGATTATGAAGAGTTCGGTTAACACTGATTGCGCTATACCGTAGCTAGACTAACCCCAGTTAAACAAATGCTAACAAACCTCAAGAGGAACTTCCTTTCAACCTCGACAATGATCAGTAATTCTCTGCTTTCTTTGACGAGTAAACCTAACGTTGTTACGTTGTTGCAGCATTTATAATGCGGAATAGTTGATGTTTCGGCGTTTGGTTTCTTCAGAGCCTGGAATTATCAAATTGACATGCGATCTACTCAGCCGAACCACTTTATACCGTCAGCATATAAAATTTTTGCCAAAAAAAAATTTAAAAAAAGAGCGAAAAAGTTAAAACAAAAATGGGAGAACAAAAATTCACTGGATTTCTTCTGCTGCGGTTCGAATATATTTGGATGAGTAGGTTGCATGTATACATAACGTTTCCAGACTCTGGAGAAAACGAAATCACGGAAATGTCAGATTCTGTGTCATAATAAGTGCTGTACTAACAATCTCCTGTTTGCTCATCATAAAAATTAAAAAAGGCCAATTAAAAATAAACTTCTGTCAATTAAACAAGCTTCTTAACCTTTTTATTTACTGCCTATTCTTCCTAACGGAAGTGTATGCTGCGAAATATATCCACTATAATGCTGAGATATTTGCAAAACTCCGGACCGCAGGTGTCTGCGGTGGGGAACGAATGCGCTATCGTCCTTTCCGGGGAGTAACGCGTTCACCATCACACCATGCGGGTCCTTCCTTTCGTCTGTCTCTCATCCAGTTCTATCAATCTTTTGCCATCAACAATCACTTGATTTGGGCTCCCCAGATCGATCCCCTTGACGGATGATTGCAGATGGCAAAAGATCGAAAGAACTGGTTGAGAGAAAGGCGAAACAAACGACTCGCATGGTGTGGTGGTGAACGCGTTACTCGCTGGAAAGGAGAATAGCGCGTTCGTTCCCCACTGTAGTCACCTGCGGTCAGGAGTTTTGCAAATATCTCAGCATTATAGTAGTTAAATAAGCTTCGTTTGAAATTTTAAAACACACAGCAAGACACTTTAGCCGTCATTTTGCTTAATCCACGTAACTTTTCTTAGAAAAGTGAAACAAATGAGAAACAACACAGCGCCATTGATATAGCTGGAAATCCACCGTAGGTCGACCGCCAACTTCTTTTGTTTTCACAGAGGTGTGATAGTGTAGCGCTGATGATGAAATGGCAAATATCTTCCCATAAGTACCGTTTAAAATATCTTTACATATGCTATTTGCGCCTTCCAATAGGCAGAAATACTTTTTTAAAGAATGCTGAATAACTTGTTTGGATAAATGAGATGGTGCAAGTGCATAGCAATTCCAGTTGACTTCGCTAATGATTGATGATTGGAATGGTCAAAATTGGTTACAACCACGATGTTTTCTCTGTTGACCGTGGGATGATTTACGTTAGAATGTACCACATTTTTTCAACCAATTATTTTGAATTTACAGTCTATGCCCTTGTAAGTGATTGACATCAATGCGGCTACTGTAATGGAACGACGATAGCCTCAACAATCATAACCCGCACACATGTAGTCATTTTGTGCAATTGAAGAAAAGAAATTCAGCACTAAGCATTAAAGGGTTTTTTTTCCAAAACGTTAATTGAAAAAAGAACAGAAAAGACGTGAGAAGGTGAGACGACGACGACGACGAAAAAGAAGAAGAAGAAGAAGAAGAAGAAGAAGAAGAAGAAGAAGAAGAAGAAGAAAGGGAAAGAATGAAAGAAAAGCGAGAGAAAGAGATGGGAAGAGAGAAAAGGAAAGAGAAAGTGGTATGACAGAAAGATGCCATTTGCAATCACCATTGCATTCTCCTACAAAAACATCCATGAATGTTTCCGGTTTCTCGATGTTGATTGACCCAACATCGGTATTTGTTCCTATCATCGACAATAGTCTCATAGTTTCCATTTATTGATATAATCCATTGAGATATCAAGTTTAAACAAGAGAAAAACTTTATGAATAGGGAAAAAAAACTTTCCCATCGTGCGGCTATATTTCAGCTTTAAGTGAAATCGTCTTAGTCATGGGTATACGGTAGGTAACGGAACTAAAAAATTGGCAGTATCCATTCAATTCTCTGCCTTGCAATGTTGCCTATTTCTTGCCTTTAAAAAGTCACTTAGACATGTGTTTCGTCAAAAGCACTAAGAAATGCCATTCAACACTTTATAACGTAATAATCAAATAAAAAATATTCTGGCCGTATAAAGGAAGATGAATGAAAAGTATCGATGAGCCAAGAGACCCAAGCCATCGATTTCTTTTCTATTTGGAGACACTGATCGATCAACCAGCTGAAAATCATTGCAAAATCAATTGGTGAAAATAAGTGGAAGGATCAGTTTCTAAAAAATCGTTCCACACTTTTTCGCTAAAATTAATCAATAATCCAATTCTTTTCGATCAATAAAAGCTTTGTGAATAATAGCATCAATTTCTGAGCGCGGAGGATTTTCTTCTTGAATCGCTGATATTTTAGGCGGCATTTCGATTATCTCAACTATCGGCGATGTTCTGTTGTAAATCAGATATGGTTGTAGACTATCGATGTGAGACAATGAGATCGATCATAGCGGACCAGAAGAAGAAACGACACATGATGATATCCGTTCATTAACTTTGAACTCTATTCTTCTTTTCTTCCTTTGTTCTTATAGACGCTTGCAATGTTCCTCCATGTATAAAGGTTTCTTAAATACATACAACATCTTGTTTGCCAATGACTACTGTAATATTAGTGGTGTGAATTCCAAACTATCTACGAGAATGGGTCGTTACGTTGACCAAACTGACGCTGGGACCTGAGGTGACTACATGTTGAGAGAGAAAAACTCATCTTCTTTGCAAAAGCGCAACCATATCCTAAATTTTTGGAAATTCGAAATTGCCCTATTTCACATAACGCAAGAATACTGGGACTAATAGAATTTGTTTCATTGTTCTGCAAACGTCACACACACAGCTAGACTGGTTTGTGAAGGCTTGGCTGTAACTCAAAGTTTTGACAACAACCATTAATCATCACGTGAAATGGCGATCGAGAGTGATTTTCCACAGAATTCAAAGGCGACCAGGTTAGGGTGCTTTTGCGTGGCCATTACAACGAGAAGTTACCAACACTCATGAATCGGCCAAAGTTTGTTGCTTTTGACTAGGACTCATCCAGGATGGCAGCTCTCTTACGGCGGAATGGAATACTGTCAATAGTCGATCAACAACACGTGGAAGATGAAGCAGTCCTAATTTAACCACAACGTGGTATTTTTCTACGGTAGATAAAAACAGACAATTATATAGAGGAAAAGGTTGAAGACAAAGCCATGCTACCTACAGCACGAAATAAATAAAAAAATGGTCTCACTGTATTCACTACAATGCTGTTTAGCAAACATCACTTTACACCTTCTTACCTACTTATGGATTGTTCATAGTTAAATAGAATCGATTTAGCAAATGTTTTACTTTGATTCTTAAAAGTGTGCAGTGAGATTCTACAGTTGTAATCCAGTCACTCTACTGGTTAATGCACCACATTAGTCTCTTAACAATTGACCTGAAACGTATCTGCTTCTTCGTTTCACTGTTTATGCCACTTGAATGCTACCCAATCGAAAACATAGGTTTCTCTGGAACTCAGTGCCGTTCTTTTACAGTTTAGCTCAATCGTAACATAACTCGGCTTGTTGATATAGTGATATTTATTTGTCAAATCTGAAGTCATTAGAATGTGCAGCTTTTTCAGTGAGATGCAAGCGTCTATTTAATTCACTGATATTAAGCTACTCTATTCTTCGAAAGTAAAAAGGCTATCTGAAAGTATCTTCATCTCGTTGCTTGTTAGAAACTTTTTTATTAAAGTAGGTATGAGAGTTTTGAAAAAATGGGATTCATTTGGTAAGAGATCCAGCGAGTTTACTAGTTGAGGAGGTTTTGTTTCGCGTCCTAAATTCTGTCTTCAGCGGCGATCAGTTATTCTCGTGCAACAGAGTTCTCCCATTATAACGTCGGTGAGCTCCAGTGCGTTTTGCCGATTTTTTGACATTATTTCTATTCTGTGGTCGTTTCGCGAAAACTGAAACAATTTGAATGTACGAAGAATAACAAAAAATCGTCATAGCTTTTCCTATAGGAAATCCAGCTTCAAAGATTTCAGTTTTTCAGCAAAATGTGTAGAGAACCACTTTCAATATCATACCATAAGGCGGTCAAGAAACGAATCGTTTTTATTTAGAAGGAAATGAAATTTACTTTATTGTAGCGAGGTCTTTCTTTTCTTGAAATCATGGGGTGTTCACTCTTCCAGTTCGCTGTTGGACTGAGGTGTTCCGAAATCGTTTCACCCACACGTTGTTGTTGCGTAAGCTCTGGAACCATGTCGCACATGGATCCGCTTCAAGTGACGTCTTCAAGTGGTCAACGTCAATGGATAGCAACAGGTTTTCCTTCCCCTCCCACGCTTTTATTGCCTTTTAGGAATTCCGTTTTCATGATGAAGCTCCTCAAATCAACGTGGTTCGGTCTGAAGGCTAATGGTTTCCTAGCTGAATATAGTAATGCCTGTTAGCGAAGGTTTTTAACTAATTAGCACCCAAATTTTGGTTAGCAAGGAAAGGAGGAAAATACTGAGTGCACTTTCCTATCATTTCCACTCTCCAGTAACCTAAGGAAACACCTGCACGGAGATATGGAATTAATACAAAAATGTAGATTAAAACCCCGACTTCAAGGTGCTACATTGGTAAAACGAAAGCGAGTAAATTGGCTATTATTTCAAAAAATAACCTCAAAATTAGAAAAAAATGCTTCCTAGAATTGTTTTGGGAATAATCGTAATAATAAGCAAAGCTCGGACGATTATTCGATCATGATGTGATCGGTCGCAATATGAGTTTGTTGTCGTTAGCACAAACATCAATGGTGCCATTGAAATGAGTTTTTTAGAGGTAATAATTTTAATTGACCAATTTTTAGATTTTTTTTATGTTTAACTCTTCCTAATAAGAGGCGCGTATGACGCAATTGTCGGAGGCGCCCGTAACACACACGTGGAGTCGATTGCCTAGCCCATGGCTCACCAAGCCTTTCAACCCTCCGGAGTCGGCAAATTGGTACCAAACTTGTTTGGGTGGATAGCAGCACTGGCTCGATACATCGATAGGACACCGCGAGGCCAGATATGCATTCAATCACCTCCAAACGATGCTTAATGAAGTGGAATGCATGGTGCCTCCCCCAGGGATTGAGCAACGCCCACAGCTTTTATTTATCCTTTATTAATGTCACTTTAGGCGAGTTTTGAGGAAATAACTCACTACTCATCATCAGCAGAATGATAGAACTTTAAAAAGTACAGTTAGAAAGCGTTGATTATAGCTGTACATATTTTTAGTGGTGCTGTTATTACATCTTCTGTCATCAACTTCATCCTCTTTCTAGTACCTTTTGCAATCGTCAAATTTTCATTTATACTTCTGATCTACTGATGGTAACTTCACCTTCGCGGCAGTGATGAACGGTGAGCGGTCGTCGTCTTTTATGCCGATTTATCATTCTCTAACAGCTCTTATCAGTTCTTTCCCCAACTCGCTTTACTTTAATGATCTACAACAGTTTTCCTGCCACTTATGAAGTAGCTTTCCGAATTTTTAGGTATTGACGAACATCTTTTTAACAAATCAATAGGAAATTGTGTAGGAATGTGCTTCAAGATCTGTTTATGTACTATAGAAAGTGCAAATGTCCGAGTAGTAATACATATAGTTGAAATAATGTTAAGAATGTTAGGAATTTTGTTCCAACCATTGGCATAAATTACGACTGCAGTTGTTGTACAACTTTGACAACTACATTTATTTACTTAGTAAACAGCCTTAGAACTAGAAAACTCGTCCTTATTACTGGTTTGGTTGCAAGTTTAGTGTTAACTCGTCCAATGCTTTAGTGTTGTGCGCTTTCCTCTTACTCACCACGACTTAACACTTACACCGAGTGGCAAGTATAGTTGTCATTGTAGTATTGCGGTGGTGACTGGTAAGGCACCTATACGTCTCATTTTCATTCTAGCGGTTTATCATAACACATACAACTATTTTTCCATACTTTTTATTACCAACTGACACCTCGTGGAACGTAGAAGCTGTGCTGGGCGTTAGTTGGGAGAAGCGCCATTCTGAACGTAGAAGCAAGCTAATAATTTATGCAGCTCAGTACCACTCATTTGCAGTACCTTTAATACACATATGTTTGTACTACGCACATACAAAACTATTTCAATTTTAACTGATAGAGTGATCAATAGTTATCGTGATGAGTGTGTGGGTGTAGGAAGTGCTGAACTGGAGACCAAAGGTTACAAAACACCTCCAAATGTGATGTGTTTGCATAATGAACCATGATAACATAAAGTGAATAGTCCCATAAATGTCATCTCTACTCATAGAACTATAGAGCAAAATCTCCTCTATAATTCATTCTTTATGTTACAACCAACTAGTTCTTTAGTTATCGAAAAATTATTGCTTATTCTCAAAGAACCACAGAGTCCCTAGAAGCGGAAAATTAGGCGTTGTCCAGTTCGCAACAAACTCTACGCAAGGCATCGTAGCGTGAGTGTTAAATAACTATATTTAGACACTTACTGGATTTGACTGGAACTAGCGCTCATAGCATTAGTTTGTCATTGTCATTTGTCAAATCATTTCTGTTGATAAGGTAAAATTTCATAAAGGAAAAGAAATTGAAATCGTAGAATAGTTTGATGAGCAGTAATGTCGGAACTGAGACCTAGGAAATCAGAACAAGTCGAACTAAAATTAGTTAATTTAGTGCCAAAAGTCGTCATCCGTGATATTTTTTAGTTAGCATTGTGCCTGATCAAAGATGTGTCAACATGTGAAGATCACGAATGCCAGCGATACTATTCAAAGATCAGATGGAAAAAGTAGGGCTATTTTAAACATAGCGTGAGTACGGCTTAAAACATTTCATGTAGTGATTGCGCAGCATGAGCATGGAAATGACCAAAACAGAGCAACGATGAAAGAACATCGTGAAAGGAACGGAATCTGATCATCGTTCTGGTTGATGAGCAACAATGCTTTCAACAGATCCAGCCAACGTAAGGGATTGCTCTAGAAGATCGTTATTCTTCTTCAAATGTTTCTCGTGTTCAAACTGTTCAGCTAACATGACTGAGTTAGACGTCTTAGTGACCCTTAGGTTGAGTTAACATGCCGCAACCCTAAACAGTTTATAAATTTCTTAATAGCTGTTTTTTTTACAGGCTCATTATTGGTGGTAATAAAGCAAGTGTGGCTCGATTCATCATGACCACCAGTCCACTCCATTTTTTTACAACGTAATTCGGTTCACTGGTCGACCTGTGTAACCAATCAACATGTTTGACGACTATACTGATTCTCCATCGAACGATGATAATACTCGTGTTTATTGCAGTGGTTGTCTTTTTTAAAAGTGCCGTGTAATTGTTCAGATGAGAGCACAACCGTACCTATTCGATGGCGAGCCATCGTAGTGCAGCCGATAAGCCGAAGACCACCACTTCTGGATCTATTCCGAACCTATCAATTGCTGACTTAACTAGCATTTCACGTTTTTGAATGTCTATGCGCTGTTGTCTAACAAATATACATAACATATTACAATCCTATGAACTCACCGTCGACGTCAGACTCGCGTGTCGTTTACAAATAGTTCCACACCCACATGTCCTAGAGAAACAGTGTGATTGACGTACGACAGGTTGCAGACGCTATGTGTTAAACAATATTTTTCCGCTAATGAAACAGGAATCTGGCCCGACGATGGTAGACGATAGTTTCCTTGCAGATTTCTCGTTGTTGTATGAAACAAATATGTATATATAATGTGGATGTTTGTCTTCTCTATACGTTGCACAATGTATTTTGAGGTGAATCGTTTTGGCCATATAAAATAGGCGTGCAAATGGGCGTCGTGGTAAAGAAGCACTGGCAGCAGTAGTTAAGGTAGACAGTCCAGCCAACGACCAGATTTTATGATTATAATCTTACCGTTTTCCTTTTTATACTTTTCTCTCTTTCCATCATCTTTCGTTCCGTTTCGCTTTTCTTCCAGCTTTTCTTTTCTTCGCTGAATTACTAAAAAAAATTGCCATCCGTTTGTTTTTTTTCCACTATTGAACGGTTAGGTGTTCGATCTACGATGACAACGACGAAGTGGTGGCGCCATACCGTCCCATATATGAATACTGGTTTGGCTGTGGCGGCCTTGTTTCGTCTGTTTTCCCTTATTAATTACGACGTGTCTACGAAAAACAGAATAGGTAGTACAACAAGTTCTAGTAGAGATTATTATACTCATTTATTCTTGATGTACCTCATTTACTTACTTCGCTATACGTGTTTAACTTTCGTCAATCGGTTTTGCTATTGAAGGTAATTAATGACTGTTATCATGACCAACATGATAATTTCAGATGAGTATTGCTATTCTGAATGATCCGCAGTTATCTACTGACGTCTACGACCTTCTAATTTCACAAACAACACCAAGTTTGGCACCATCAGCTCGTGACGAATCTCGTGACATTTTCACCAGCGTCCTCAGCGTTCATTCGTCAACGCAGCAGTTTTATTCACCATCAATGAATTCGCTCGTCATATTACTACGATTATAACTTTTGTTCGTAAAAGTGCTGGAAGTGGTATGTAAAACGTAGGATTCGATCAGATTCTAATGTTGCCATGATGATCTCAGTGGTTGCGATTCGCGATGTATTTTTAAAGGTTTTTCTAAATAAAGCACTTGTTATCAGATTGTTTTTCTAACAGCATCCTATCTGATCTTCTGAAACCCTTTATTTAGAAAAGGTTATTTCCGTAGTTGGAGTACTATTACTGCTTCGTTAAATAATTCGTAATCCAACTTTGGCTATACTTAAAATTGTTGGGAATAGCAACGTTTTGTAAAATTATCTCCATTAACGTCATCATCATCACTTACCCCTTTGTTACCATACCTGTGCATTTATGCCGATTGCCGAATTAAGGTCAGGCCTTAGAATGTTGACTAGTAGCACTTAAATTTACTACAACACGAAAGGAATCATGTAGAACATTCACAAACTCCTTTCATGCAGTTGAAAAATAGCAGACGTGTTTCATTTTTAAGCCGGAAACCCCTATGAAATTAATCTTAGAAAAAATGGCTTTGCTATTTGTCTTACCGATTTTCTCTTAAAGAAGGAGAAATAGTAGGTTATCACCGTTCTCACGGCCGATGTGTAACATATACGTTAATAAATAATGAAATATAAATTCATTTTCGGATATTCCTGTACGAAAAAGTTTGAAAATTCCAACAGTTGGCAGATATTTTAAAAATATGTTTCCATTTAAGCTCGGTATGAATAACCCGGCTTTCTATCATCGAAAAACTAACACGAGATTGATAAATAGACTTTATTTGGCTGACATTTCGACGTTTTCGTCTTTCTCGGAGAGGATGATCGGAGTCGATGTTCAGATGTTGATAAGTCACATCGTGGTTGAACCAAAGCCGGTTTTTTAATATTTTTAGGATCTGTGCTAGTTGGTAATAATAAGGACTTCTGCACGATGGATTGTCCGGAAAAAACAAGTTATTATCAATGAAGAATCGCCATCGACGACAACTTTCTTGCATAAAAGAGCACCGCCAGATGAGGTTGCCTCATTCGTGCGGTGTTCCACTGAGGAGAGTCCGACTCGATACAATGGCGAACATACCACATTGAGAGTGCGGACGAGTATGGAAATCGTTTGGGTTCATCGCCTCTAAGGAAGAGAAAGACGAGAAAACTTTAGTTGAATAAGGTTTGTTTATCAACTTCGTTTTGCTTATCAGTGAAAGAATACAAGTCCGCAGATATACCCTTTTTGGAGAAAACAACGCTACCTTTTTGCGAGTAAGCCCAACCGTTTCCTTAGTACTGGTGCCGTCCGCTTTTCGTTATTGGTTCTGATTAGAAATGGGTAACGACGAATTGCTCGCCGAAATCTGCTTCAGTATCTTTACAATTATCTTGTTGTCTTGTGGGGTAGTCGTGGGCTGGCCCCTAAAAGACGACTTCTAATCACCTCACATATACTTCACACACACTTGAACACAAGCTTTTGTTTGAAAGTCTGTATACATGCAATAACGCCGCAACAAGCATCCATAGAAATGTCGGCTTGCAAGCACAACATAAAGGCCATGAACGTGAACCTAATATAGTGACGACACGGTGTCCACCTCTTAAGTCTTCCCGCATAAGAGAACGCATTCAAGGTCGTTTTTAGCCCGCGTTTAACCTCCGCCCGCTGTTGACCTGTTGACACAGCGCGTAATCTCGTGTTTACGCCACTTCAAGAGGACGACGTGATAGGGGTTAGTGAACATGGAGGCAGCTCCCTATACTGGAATGACCCATCTTCATAATGTATTGAACAGGCTCAAAGTATATTTCTGGTTCTAAGCATTTTTTTCCAGAATCTCAAGGAGCTGGTCTTACGTCATCATTACATGAAGCAACGTGTTTCTACAGGTTGAGAAGAGGCATATGAGATTGTGGCCACGTTACCAGAGCAGTGGAGACTGCTGACTTTAGTTTATTCTTCGGTTGATTTTTGGTTGATGAGGTTCAACGTAGTGCAAGTGACTACACCGAGGTGTGATTCTCATATTTCCACTGTTTTTATCTATTCTTTACCTTTTCTAAAGAATTTGGTCGTAGTATAATACATTGAATAACTAGATGACCGCAGTCAATTTTTATCTTAAAAGCTGGATAGAATGTAAGAAAATATAATATTATATGTATCACACATCGTTACTTCCGTAGACAAGAAAATAGAAGGAAGAGCTCCATGTTTCCACTTTCCGCGCTTCCTTCAGCCACAGCTTGATTGATGCTCAGTTAGAATCCACATTCTACACTATTACATGTGGCTTGCATCCACCTGTCAACTTCTAATCGAGTGATTCTTCCAATTTCTCCGGTCACCTGCGTGGGAGCACCATAGGTGTCAGTGCTTCGTAGATCGCTGCTGAGGCACAAGATGCAACCGCGTTTTACTTCTTTTATCAGATGTGCATGAAACATTTTTACCCATGATTTACGATTTAAGAGCAGAATCCACTTCGTTCTTCCGCAGGGTTCCAGGTTAAAATTTTTGCTCCAGACTATCAAAATTCTTAGAGAACTAGAAACGATGCCGAACGATTTGCCATTTTAAAAATATTTTGCTTTTTGATTCTCTTTTTGCCGCATAATAAGGTGAACTCCCATTTCATATCTAAACTTGTTCAATACGCTGAGGAGCTCTCTTATTTTCATTGTGGCAAGCATGTTCATCATCAATTAGACATGCTTCACAAGTATATCTCACTAAATGTTCCTAGTTCTAAAATGAGTTGCAGACTCATAGTCGTGCGATGGTCCTTTTAAAGATTTTCATGAGCTTATACATTCTTTCTGTACTCGCTTCTTTCCACGGCAGCTGATATAGCGAAGCACTTCCGAATGGATTCGCTGTTACGTTTTCTGTTCTGTAAAAGATCAACGAAGGAATGGAAATGTGGTTATCACCCTCCTTGTCGCCATTTGTTTTTATAGGGAACAAAATTACCTCACCTCATGATGAATATTGGGATATAAACCTACTTGACTTTAAAACTCAAACGGTGGTGTGCTGGAGTTAAAAATTTTTGGTTTCATTGAGCTGTGAACTTTGGCACAATATTTCCTTTGCTAAAAATTTGTCGGGAATTATCGGAAAACTCAACTAGCGGTCAGTGCATTAAAGTTACTTTACTCTTTCAGGTTATATTTAACAAGCTGGGCTACCCAATCCTCTATTTTGTTGTTGTGCTACCGGTTTGAAAAGATTTGTTTACCGAAGTACCGTAAAACCCATGACGGATCGTAACCAAATGCAGCCGCTCTCCTTTGTAAGTCGCAGGGAAACTCACCATATTGTGATTAGGTTTCTTTAAGGGTGGAAAGAACCTTTGGCACTGACACTTTTACCCCAAGTTAAACCGGATGCGTGGTTATAAATCCTCATTGTAGCTCATGGTTTGGTGCTGTGGCCTTCTTTTTATTCACGTTGACTGGATTCAAATGTATCACAGACAATTCTTACCTATACTCTACAAAATCTGAAGACAAATGACCTTTACTTTAAAAGAAAAAATTCATGCGGAAACGAGTAAAATTACATGATAAGCCGGTTTACACTTAACCTTGGCATTAGCAGTGAAACCAAAATCCTAGAAAACGACGTTTTCACGTTTTTATAGAGTTAATTTAAAAGGAAAAAAACAACAGTGATGATTTTGATATCTCTGTTCGAACAAGGCATTCTGCATATATGTCGAAAGGACAAAAATAAATAGGAAGTATGATCTTTACTGTGAATTAACAGTTGCTCGTTTTATTTTTCTAAACTGAGTGAGGTTTGAATCACAATATTAACTTCTTATTGCTGCCTACTGTAAAATTTTCTATGGCATGGTATTACGCGAAATACAACCACAACGGTGATGAGATATTTGCAAAACTACGGACCGCGGATGTCTGAGATGGGGAACGAATGTGCTATTACCCTTTCCGGGGTCTAACGCGTTGACCACAGCATAATGTGAGTACTTCGTTTCGCCTATCTCTCAGTTCTGTCGATTTCTGCCATTAGCATTATTAAATTTGTTTTGCTTATATTATTAGCATTTATTAACATTGTGACTTCGGCTTCAACCTTATCTTAACTGGGTTCACTGCCGATTTGGGCTCCATAGATCAATCCAGTTGAAGGGTGATTGCTGATTGCACTGAACGATAGAACTAGCTGAGAGAAAGGGAAAACGAAGTAGACGCCTGGAGTGGTGGTGAACACGTTAGCCTCCGGAAGGGATATTAGTGCATTTGTTCCCCACCGCAGACATCTGTGGTCCGGAGTTTTGTAAATATCTCGACGCCATTGTGGGTGAGTGAGGTTTATTCGTCATCTTAAATGAGCAACAAACAAATGGATTATCTCACTTTCCAGAAATAAATGTGGTTAGCAATCTTAATAAAGAAGAGTTTCGTTTGCACACTACATTACTACATTACTACTTAGACCAATTAATAATTTCCAAATAATAAAGTCAAAGCTGCAAAAACAAGAGTACATTTAGATCCTCAGGAAGGTGAAGTGGCCACAACGCGAGCGGTCGAACATTGACGATATATCTTAACAACTTTGTCCTATCTTATCAAAGGGTGATCACAAAGACTAAAAATGAAACTTGGAACAAACCAGGAATGAGTACTATTTGCTTCGCACCCGCGGGAATAGATTGTGCCTCGTTAACCTAGTAAAACACGTCATTTTGCGTTGCCGCTTTTCTAAGAATATGAAGAATCGAAGCATAAGAAATCGCCAAAGACCAAAAATCCTTACAAAAGGCGGAATCTGAGAATTTGCTGCTATACAACGAAGCGATACAAAACATAGGTTCTGCCTCACCCAAGAATGTGAAGTAAAATGAGACAGAGTGAACACGAGTTAAACCAAGTGTTGTATTATATGTCAGCGCTTAAAAACTACCCACTCCTAAAAATTTGAAACAGAGAGTAGTAGAACTGAATGTAATCAACACACTCTTAGCTGT